CTGCAGCGGGGTGATTCGGTGTCTTCTGTGTGACTCAGGACCTCAGTAGGGCGTGCACAGACCTGCCTGTCTGCAGCGGGCTGATTCAGCGTGTGTTCCGCGCAACTGGGGACCTCGGTAGGGTGTGGCTAGAGTTGATTTTTAAGAGTTCTGTATATATTCTGGATATTAGTCTTCTATCAGATGAATAGCTGGCAAAAACTTTTTTCTCTCTTCTGTAGGTTGTCTCTTCAGTCTGTTGATTGTTTTGTTGTACAGAAGCTTTTTAATTTGATATAATCCCATTTGTTGATTCTTAGGGCTAATGGAACTCTATTCAGGAAGTCCTTGCCTGTGTCTATGGATTCAAGTGTTTTCCCTACATTATCTTCCAACAGTTTCAAAGTGTATTTTTATATCTATGCCTTTGATCCATTTTAATTTGATTTTAGTACAAGGTGAGAGATACAGGTCTAGTTTCATTCTCCCGAATGTGGATAACCAGTTTTCCCAGCACCATTTGTTAATCAGACTGTCTTTTCTCCAGAATGTTTTTGTGTCTCTTTGTCAAATTAATTTTCAAAATAATTTCATGTAATTCTCTGGATTTCAGGGCATCTATTGTAATTTTTTTTTTTTTGGTACTGGGGATTGAACTCAGGCCCTTGTGCTTGCAAGGCAGGCAGCAGTACCACTGAGCTATATCCCCAGCCCATTGTTGTAATTTTGCTCTTTTCTAGTACATTGATGTGGGTCTTTTGTTTTAGTAACTTCGGCTAAGAGTTTATCAATATTTCTTATCTTTTCAAAGAACAAGTTGTTGGGTTCTTTGGCCCGTTGTATTATTTAATTTCAACTTCATTGATTTCTCCATTCATTTTTATAATTTATTTATTTCTACTAGTTTGGGGTTTGGATTATTCTTATTTTTCTAGGACTCTGACGTGCATCATTTGTTTATTTATTTGGGATTGCCCTGTTTTTCTAATACAGGTGATCAGAGCTATGAACTTCCCTCTTAGAACTGCTTTCATTATGTTTCAAAGATTCTAATATGTTGTATTCCCAGTGTCATATGATTCTAGAAATTTTAAAGTTTCTTCTCTGATTTTGTCTATGATCTATTGATCATCCAAAAGTGTATTAATCGATTTCCACATCTTTGTGTAGCTTCTGTGATTGATTTCTTTTCCTGTTTTCTAGTTTCATTCCATTGTGATCTGATGAAATGCAAGAGATGATTTCAATTTTTTTATTTATTGAGTCATGCTTCATGGCCTAAAATATGTCTTGTTTTGGAGAAAGTTTCACGGCCAGCTGAAAAGAATGTATGTTCTGCTGTTGTTGGAGGAAAAACTGTAGCTATCTGATAAATTAATTTGTTCTATGGTATGGTTTAACTGATATTTCTTTGTTGATATTTTGTCTGGTCGACTTGTCTATTTGTGAGATTCGGGTATTAAAGTCTCATGATTATACTGTATTTGTGCCTATCTGTCCTTTTATATCAAATACGTTTTTTATGACATTGGTATGCTGACATTCAGAGAATATATATTTATAATTGTCATTTCTTCCTGGTGAATTGTTCCCTTTATTAATAATAGTGACCTTTGTCTTTTTGGATCAGTTTTGATTTGAAGTCAACTTTATCAGAAATAAGAATAATTACTCTTGCTTGCTTTTAGACTCTAGCTGCATGGAATATGATTTTTTTTTTTTTTTTTACAGGGGATCAAACTCAGGTCCTTGTGCTTGCGAGGCAGGCGGCGGAACCACTGAGCTAAATCCCCGGCCCTGGAATATGAATTTTTTATGCTTTCACTTTCAGTTGGTGTATGTCTTTGTGGATAAGATGTGTCCCTTGCAGGCAGCATATTGCTGGGTGTTGCTTTTTGATTCACTCTGCCTGCCTATGTCTTTTAATTAGGATTAAGATTATTTACATTAAGAATTGCAAAGTATTTTACTGATTCCTGTCATGGTATTATTTTCCAGTGTTGGTTTATTTTTGTTTTCCTCTTACTTAACTATTCTCTTAGCAAGATTTATTGTTTCCTTTGGGCTCTTGGGCGATGTTGATTTTATTGTCTCTGATTAGGTTTCCCTTGAGTATTTTCTGCAGTTCTGGTTTGGTGGTCATGGATGTCTTTAGTTTGTCATGACAGGTCTTTATTTTTCCCTCTATTTTCAGGATAATTTTTCAAGGTATAATAATCTGAGCTGGCAATTATTATCTTATAGGACTTGAAAAACTTCAAGTTCTCCTGGCTATTAAGGTTTTTATTGAGAAATCTACTATTATTCTGATGGGTTTGCTCTTATAAGTTATTTGATGTTTTTCTGCAGCAGCTTTTAGTTTCCAATCTTTGTTCTGAATTTCTAGGATTTTGCCTAGGATGTGTCTCAGGGAAGTTCTTTTCTGGTCACGTCTACTTGAAAATCTAAATGTCTCTTTTTTACTTAGCATTTACTTGGTACTTTTTACACTTGATCTTAGCCAAAAGACCGAGATGCGATACTTGGTACTTTTTAATCATTTTATCCTTTTTTTGTTGCCCTTTCCCCCATTTTCTTGTTTTTCCTTTTCTTGTTTGTGTGTTGAAGGTTGTAGATCCAACGGGCTAGAAAGCTCTGCCACTAATGATGTTTTGTGTACAGCATTGCCTGCATCAGACTGGCCTCAGGTCTTCCAAGATTTTGTTTTCCAGATGTCCCATAGTGTTAGTCACTGTTCTGCCCACAAATCAGAGACCAATACCCAGCACAGTTTCCTCCTACACTACATTCCCCACCACAAGGAGGCCTACTCAGTCATTGCTGGGATGGAAAGAACCGCATGCTGAGCACACAGGTTCCGTGACACTTGGAAGTGACCTGATTTACCAGTCCTGTCTTTCCTTCTTTCTCAGGTGAAATCTCATAAGATCCAACTGGGTCACACAGAGGGTCCAGGAAATTCTCAAGGACTGATAATGATTTCTGTACAGAATGGCCCAACTCAGACTGGTTTCAGGACCTATAGTGTTAATCATTGTTCTCCCTGACAAATCCCAGAGTAATAACCATCACAGTTTTCTTCCACACTGAACTCCTTCCTACATGGCTTCCTCACACGGCATTGGGACATAAACAGTCAGGAATATATTTTAAATTTATTTAATTATTGTCTATTCCTCCCTAAATTAAACCATGTTTAATAAAAATATGGATTTTGCTTTGTCTTTGCTGTTTCCTTGGTGTTGGAGAATGCCAGAATCAGCATATGATAAACATCACTTGTACAGTAAGTGTACATTATGGCTAAATGTACATAATAACAGAAGTGATTACAAACCTTGTAATTACCAACTGAAGTATAAAAACATGAATGAATAAAACAGTATTTAGATATCAGCAAATCAAAAAATAATGTAGATAGAAATAATTACATACAGGTAAAGGATCCTCAATCTAAAAACTGAAATGCTCAAAAATCCAAAGCCTTTTGTGCACCTACATGATGCCATAGTGGAAAATTTCACACTTGATGTGATATGTTAGGTTGCAGTCTAAACACAGATGGAGTAAAAACATTACCCTCAGCCTAAGTACATAAGGTATATAAGAAACATAAGTGATTTTATGTGTAGACTTTTGTCCCCTTTCCAATATATCTCATTATGTTATGCAAATATTTAAAAATCTGAAATCTAAAACACTTCTGGTCCCATGCATTTTTGGATAAGGGATAGTCAATTTGTGTTATAAATTATGTTCCTTACAAGGCATCTTCTCAATTCATGCTACTCTAATCTTTCTTCTGTAAGTCTTGGAAGGTATTGAGCAATTATTTTCACAGCCCAGAAATCTTTTCTATAGAATTCCAGAGGTTGGCAATAATAGTGATATTTATCTCATATTTCTGGGAACACACAGAACAGATTACAGAGTCTCGGTATGTTAGTGTATAGTCAATCAGTATGAAAGAAGTGAGGAGGAATGCCATGCTAATAAATTAAAGTCTCTACTGAACTGTCAATATATTTGAACAAGGATTCAAGTGGAAATATTTACAGTTCAGGTGTGAGTGTGCACTTGTCAAACCTGCTGATTTAGAGGGCATTTATATCTTTGCCCAGCTAGTGAATCCACCTTCCATCAGAGGAAATGGAAATACTTTGGAGTAGAAGGCGGTAGATGTTAAGATTTTTTCAGTTACTTTTGCCTGTTGAGAACATACTTAGTGATTCCTCCACTTATGTCATAAAAGACTTCATATTACTCTGTTAAGCTGTAACTCTGAATATGTCTATCTCTCTTCCCATTATTTCTCACATTTATTTCCTGGAAAAAATACTGATCATATTTCAAAACTTGTAAGTAAATGATGAAACTGCTGCTTGTTTTTTGAAGATGTTATTTTCATAAATTCATAGCTATTTTGATTATTTATTTTATTTCACCTGATGTCTTCACACAATATCTGCCAAATATTTTGAGGTTTTGTTTCAAAGCCAGGAGCCCATTGTCAAGACTATTGGATGCTATTGTTTCTATCTTTAAATGCTAGGAATTGGATCGCTGTTGTAAACAAAAAGTACATAACCATAAAAACATCCAGACTCGTTTTGAATTAGTCCCCATTAAAAGAAAAAATAGTTCATTTATTTTTATAACATGAAGGTATGAAAAATGAGTAGTCTTCAGTTAGTTTTTAAATCACTCCAAACTTAATTATTTCCATTTCTTGTATATCCATGTTCAAAGGGATGTACCAAATAGAAGGTGCCAGTAAGGATTAAAAACCTAACCATTACATAATTTGAGGAACGAAAACACAAAATTAAAACAAGCCCATTTTATGATCTGAGTACAATTCATGGTTTTCAGGATTTCTTGAATAAGTTAGTCAAATTTAAGGCCTATCACAGATTCTGAGAAGTTTTTTCTGAATAAAATTTTTGAATTTATAATATCTGTGTGCTTTTGTTGTTGTTGTTCATGAAATATGCCTGAGAACACTGTTGATTCTTTTCCAGATGGTAAAGGTGACGCTCAGGAGAATAGCTTGAGAGACTTAATGAAAGAGCTTCCAGACACCCACTACTGCCTGCTCAAGTACCTCTGCAGGTTCTTAACAAAAGTAGCCAAGCACCATGTGCACAATCGCATGAATATTCACAATCTCGCCACTGTATTTGGACCGAATTTCTTTCAGTAAGTTTATGGAATTTTGGTTTTAACATCATACGTCCTTACTAAATTATGGGGACATAGGAGCATATCTCAGTCTAAAAGATCAATCAATTTATGTTTGTGAAGTCCCATCTTGCTTTTGGGTGGATTAGCCTTGTTTTTTTATCCCAATTTTGAAGAAGACACAAAAGCCTTCTTATGAAACCATACTTTTCAGTAATTCAAATAACATTTAAAATTCTGGAAATAAGGTGGTTTTTTTTTTACTAAATGACATTTAAAAAATTTGTAATCTGAAATCATTAGTGGAAAGGGGAAGAGTACGATAAAATAATTATTTTAATAGTGATAAATTTCACGTTATTGCTAATAGATGGAAAATTATGAGTAAAATACATCAGTAACCAAAAAAATATAATCTTAGTTTTGCTTATTTTCCAAATTTAATTTTCTAAAAATTAAACTAGACTAAAAATAAACTAATCTTATGTATTACTAACCACAAGAACTTTTGTGAAGCTTTGTTTTATTTTTCCTGTTACTCCTTAAAGCTTTTTAATTGTTGATATGTAAAACACAATCTTTGCAATCCAGAGGCTTTGCTTTCAAGTCTCCTATTAATCCCTTCTGATATCAAACTTATTCCTTCTAGTTATATATAGAAAGAATGCTTTCACTTTCAGAGCTCTCAGAAAGTTTGTGTTCTTTTTTAAATAGTGTATATGCTTTTCCACTCCATATAGTCTTTGCCCTCATTTAGCTGCCCAGAGCTAGTAATACTACGGTCTTCAGAATGTCTAAATATAAACTCTGCCTTAGATAATAGATCCATGCCATTAACTGCTTACTTTGGGGGAGAAGGTCTACCTTAATAATGGGTCCCACTTGTAACTTTAAACATGTTAACTTTTTTATTTAATGGTACTGGGGATCAAACTCAGGACCTTTGCTTGTGAGTCAGGCATGGCAGCACTGAGCTACATCCTGGCCCTAAACATGTTAACTTTTAAATAATGATATCTCATGGGATATGGTACAGTCCTGTGAATAATATCTCAAAAAAAGGACTTGCTAACTTCTAATTCAGGAGCGTCATGATAGTAAAATTCTGTATTTGTTCTTTTTACCCCCATTTACCCAGTAAATCTTTGCATCATGACCTACATGTGAGAAATAAAGGTGTAAGTAGAAAACTACTCAATAATTTTGAAATTCTAGCTCATTGATGGTGAAACTTTAGAGATCAGTGCCCAAATTGCAACCCCAAAACACACTCAAAGTGCCAACACTGCAATTAAACCTGAATACTAAGGTTTTACTTTAGAAAAAAAACCTCATACATTAACATCTTTTGTCTTAAAAAGCAACACACATGCCATAGGTTTGACACCACTGCCCTAGGTTCTAGAAAAGGTAAAATCAATTTATAAATAGAATTCTTATTTAAAAAGCAAAAAACACAGATAAAAACAAAACATCCATACAACACTACTAACTTATAAATTGGGTTTAATCCAGAATTTCTGGTAACCCGCTCTAATCAGTCAATCAAAATATCAGTAACGATGAGATTTTATTATAGGCTCTACTAATTAGTTTGATTTTTAAATTTTTATTGTAAAATTAATATACAGAACATAAAATTCATTGCTTTAACCATTTTTAAGTGTAAAGAGTGGTGGTGATATTCTAAGTATATTCACATTGTTGTGGTCTACTAAATAGTATGTATTTCTAAACTTCCTGATATAGAAGTCAGTGAAATAGAGTGTAGTGAAATGGAATATAATTGGAACAGATAGCATTTATTAAGAACTTACCAAGTTCTATATTTTCTTATTTATCTGACTGACTGCTAAAGAGAAGGATGAGATTTATTTTGTCATTCACATGTCTGTGTCTAGGTCAAGGGAAAGGAAGCACTTCTACTCCAATGACCATGGTTAATCCGTAAATGTTATAAAGATGTTATAAAGAGGATTAGTGCAAAACTTCCATTCCCAGATGATTCCTTCACTATGAATCCACTAAAAGATAGAACAAAGAAAATGATGTCTGTAGCCATGTTTATAAGAGTAGAAAATAGAATAGATTGTGTTTTAGTTTTAGAGATGGAGTCTCACTATGTTGCCTATGTTGACCTTGGTCTCCTACAGGTGCATGCCACCACACCCAGTTGAAAATAGTTTTTATAGGGTGTTTACAATATGGCAGGAATGGAAGAGTTACACATTTGTTCACTTATTTTACTTCTCAGTGCTGAAGATTGAACGTAGAGTTTTGCACATGCTTAGGCAAGGACTCTCCCACTGAGCTTCATCCCCAGCCCCTACTTTTATTTTTAATTTTAAAAATACATTTTATCTTCAGTTCACACACAGTAATTGTACATGTTTATGGGGCACAGTGTGACATTTCAGTAAGTGCATACAGTGTGCAATGAACAGAGTAATTAGCCTATCTATCCCCTTAGATATTTATCATTTCTTTGTGTTGGACACATTCAAAATCCTCTATACTAGCTATTTTGAATTATTCAGCTAACTTTTGGTATACGTAGTTATGCTACTGTGCCACAGAATATAAGGAGTTACTCTGTTTATCCAACTGTACCCTTGATCCTGTTAACCATCCTTTCTACCACCCTCTGTTACCATACACTTCCCAGGGTCTGATAACCACTATTGTATTATCTGTCCCTTTGAGAGCAACTTTGTAGCTTCCACATGTAAATGATAATATGTGGTATTGTCTTTCTGTGCCTGACTTATTTCACCCAACATAATATCCTCCAGTTCCATCTAGGTTGTAGCAAATGATAGAATTTCACTCTTTTTATGGCTAAATAAGATTCTGTTGTATATTTGTACCACATTTTCTTTATTCATTCATCCATTGATGGACATTTAGGTGAGTTCCTAAATTAGCTATTGGGAATGAAGCTTCAATAGACATGGAAGTACTTTACAAGTGCCTTTTTGATGTGTTGATTTCTTTTTTTTGGATATATATAGCCAAATGATGGATTGTTGGGTCAAATGGTAGTTTTATGTTTAACTGTTTTTTGAAGACTCTTCACAGTTTTTTCAATAATAGCTGTAATAATTTATGTTCCCAACAACAGTGTATGAGAGTTCCCCTTTCTCCACATCCTTGCCAGCATTTAAAAAAATTAATTTTATTTGTATATTTTAGATATACGTAATGATAATATTCATCATATGGAATTTGTACCTGTACATGATATATCTTGATTCATTTTTATCCGCTTTCCCACACCTCTCTTCAACCTTTCTTCCTCTCCTTATTTACAAAAGCTTTGTTTGAATTTTTTCCTTTTGTTCTCCTTTTTCCCTTTTCCTTCCTTCTCCCCCTGCCACTCCCTTTCCCATTTGAACATTTTCTTCCTGTTTCACAATATCTATTGTACATTTTGGTCCTTATTTACACTTTCAGTTTCTCATACCAGAGAAACCAATATATGAATATGTGTGTCTGATATATTTCACTTAAGAGTATGGTCTTAACAAAAATGGGCATCTGAAATGAACAGACATTTCTCAGACAAAGAAGTAAAAGCAGCAAACAAATATATGAAAAAATGTTCAACATCATTTGTCATTCGAGAGATGCAGATGAAAACAACGCTGAGATTCCACCTCACCCCAGAAAGAATGCCTGCTATCAAGAAATCAACCAATAACAAATGCTGGCAGGGGTGTGGGGAGAAAGGAACCCTTCTCCAATGCTGGGGGAGGGAGTGTAGATTGGTGCAACCACTGTGGAAATCAGTATGGAGATACCTCAAAGAACTAGGACTAGAGGTTCCATTTGACCCAGCTATTTCCCTGGTGGGTATCTTCCCAAAAGAATTAAAAGAATCATACCACAGTGATATATGTGGACCCATGTTCATAGCAGTACAGTTTGTAATAGCTAAAGCTTGGAAGCAGCCCAAGTGCCCATCAACTGGAAACTGGATAAAGAAGATGTGTTTTTTTTTTATAAAATGGAGTACTACTCAGCCATAATGAAAAACTAGAGTCATTTATAGCTAAATGGATGCATATTGAGGCCATACTCTTAAGTGAAATAAATAGGATACACATGTGTAATACCAAATAGTTTCTCTAGTGTGAGAAACTGATAGTGTAAACAAGGTTTAAAATGATTAAAATTAATATTGATAATTTGAAATAGGAAAAAAGGTCCAAAGACGAAGGGGTGAAGGGAGGGGAAGGGGAAAGGAAAGGAGAGAAAGGAAAAACTATGAGAAAAGAAAAAAAATGGAAATGATGTCTATGTAAATAGTGAAGGGCACACAGGTAATGGGGAAAAAATAACCAAGGTACATCATGTACAGGTACAAACACCCAATGATAAATGTAAATGAATTGTCTACCTAAAATATACCCATAAAATAACTTAAAAAAAAAAAGAGTATGGTCTTAAACTGCATCCATTTACCTAGAAATGTCTCAAGTTTATCCTACTATATAGCAGAGAAGTGCTCATTGTATAAAAAAAATCCACATCTTTATCCACTCATCGGTTGATGGGCATTTGGACTGTTTCCAAGATTTAGCTATTACAAACTGTGCTACTATAAACATAGGTGTGCATATATTGCTCTGGTATGATGCTTTTAATTTTTTTGGAGAGATACCAAGAAGGGGAATACCTGGTTCAAATGGAACCTCTAATTTTGGTTTTTCAAAGAATCTCCACACTGATTTCCACAATGGTTGCACCAGCCTACATCAACAGTACAGAAGGGTTCCTTTTTCCCCATAGCCCCGTTGGCATTTGTTGTAGACTTTTTGTTACTAGCCATTCTATCTGGAGTGAGATGGAATCTCAGTGTTGTTTTAATTTGGATTGAATTACCAGTGATGTTGAATATTTTTTAATATATATTTATTTGCCATTTCTACTTCATAATCTGAGAAGTGTCTATTCATTTCAGATGCTCTTTGTAGAGATGGGTCTTTAAATTTTGGAGGTCTGGTTTTGTTTTCTTT